TTTCTCACCTTCCTCACATCTCAGAAGGAATAAGCCAAATAAGGCAACTTGCTCATTAAAAAATAAGACACCAGGATTTAAACACACACACACACAGGTGTGCATGGCACATTGGGGCTGGTCAATGTTGGGGCTTGCTGACCGCTCTGGAAAGGTCCCTGGATTCTCACTCACAGACCGTGCTGCTCACTAAGTGATTCAAAACATCGGCAGCAGGCTACAGAGGCAGGCTTCGTAAACCTGCCTGGTATGCTAGAAGCAGCTCCTTCCCACTATACTGGAGTCTGCAAGGGTCAGAGTGCAAAATGCAAAATGGAGAGTTGAGTAGGGGTTTGGGTTGGGGATGAGATAAAAAAGGATTCAGGTGGTGATGAACCCACTCATGCAATCAAAGAGTCATGCTGTGTCTGGCTCAGTGGTTGAGCGCTGACCCATGCACCAGGTCGCAGGTTCGATCCCCGGTCAGGACACATGCCCAGGTTGTGGGCCCGATCCCCAGTGGAGGGCATGCAGGAGGCGGCCAATCAACGTTCTCGCTCATTGATGTTTCTATCGCTCCTTCTCGCTCTGAAATCGATAAAGGAAAAAAAAAATTAAAAATAACAGTCCTGCTGTGGGCCAGGACCTGTTCAGGGTGCTGACCTTATAGCTATGAACATGACAGGAGATATTTTCCAACCGGGAGTGTTTATTCTAGTAGATGGGAGGGGCGCAGACACATCATTCGTTGTGTAATTACAATGCGTGGCAGTTTTTTAAAGGAGCTATGGGTGTGTGCCGCGGGAGGGGGCGGGCCTCACTGGGGAAGTCAGGGGCTGCTCCCACGGGGGAGATTCTGAGCTGAGACCTGCAGCATGAATAAGAATGAACTAAGAGAGATGTGGGTGGCAGGGAGGGTGAGGGTCCCAGGCAGAGAGAAGGAATGCGTAAAGGTTCAAGAGGGACAGAAGCAGGCTGGCAGTGCCTCTCTCTCTGCGGGACCTGCCCCCACCCCCTGTGTGATGCTCCGTTACCTGCACAGGGAAAGTGCTAACTCGTGGAGGCTTAGATCCCGCCTGCACCTCCCTGAGATGCTCACCTAGCTGGGACCTAGACTCCCTGGGAGAGTCTGATGGAAACTCGATAGTTTCATCCCAGCACAATGCACATAAACACGTATGCACCAACTTTTCAAAGACCTTCAGGGGTTTCACCAACCCCCTAGACCTCTGGCTTCAGAAAGAAGCACACATGTCTTAGTGTGACATCCAAGCCCTTTCTATATCTCCGGAGTCCTCTCTGACTGTCCCCAGTGCTTCTGGACAGAGGCTGTTCTCTCTTATGTGCCTGCGTTAGCCTACCTTCTCCCCTCGGCCCGGGACCCTCTCTGTGCCCGCCTCCTCTCCTGGAGAGCTATCACTCAGCCCATGCTTCCTCTGGGAATTGTTCCATAACTCCCCTGGGCTGGGCCAAGGACCCCTCTCAAATGCTTTCCCCATTAGTGGACCAATCACTCTGAATTCTGGGTTTTGCCTGCTCAGAGGTTTGTCTACCTCCTACTGGCTTATGAGGGCAGAGGCAGTGGTTCTAGGTGGACCCCGTGCCTAATACAGTGCTGTGTTCCAGGAGACACTCAGTAAATAGTTCCTCAATAAATTAATGGAGCGATCTGGTCCCCAAAAGTTCACCTCCTCGCCCTGTAGATTTGATTCCTGTGGGACCCAAACCTCCATGGGTGAATCCAGCTGACTTCCTCTTGTTCACAGTTATCATTACACTCAGGCCTTTCGATTAACATCTCTCTGAGTGACAGCAGCTACTCCCCAGGGTTATTCACTTCAAATAAACTCCACACTGAAGCAGCAGGCCCTTGGCTTCTTCTAGAAGATTGGACCCCCCCCCTCCCCTTCTTCCACCCACACACTGGTTCCCTTCCTGTAACTCCAGAACCCACGGAATATCATTACTACTTCTGAGCTGACCTTTACCACGTTTGTAATCTGGGTCAGACCAAACCTAGACTAGGCTTTTTAAAACCTTGTTACTGGGACTAACATCCATGAACCTGGGGACTGGTTAGAAATTCAAAATCTCTGGTCCTTTTAAAGAAACCAGTCTAACCAGTCTAAAGACCTCCTGAATCAGATTCTGAATTTTCATAAGATCCCCAGACGAGTCTTGAAAGGCACTGGAACACAATGCCTTTCAGTTTTCGTTGTACCTTAGACTTACACAGGGAGCTTTAAAAACAAAACACAACAGCCCTAGCCAGTGTGGTTCAGTGGTTAGAGCATCGGCCTGTGCACTGAAGGGTCTTGGGTTCGATTCCCAGTCAAGGAAACGTACCTGGGTTGTAGGTTTGATCCCCAGCCCTGATTGGGGGCGCATGCGGGAGGCAACAAATCAATGTGTCTCTCTCACATTGAAGTTTCTCTCTCTCTCCCTCCCTCCCTCCTTTCACTCTCTCTAAAAACAAAATCAATGGAGAAATATCCTCAGGTGAGGATTAACAAAAAAAAAAGAAAGAAAGAAAAGAGAAAGAAACAGGCACAAACCAGTGATATCACTCCTCCAAGGTCATAGTTAAGAAATGGCAGAGCTGGGATTTGAACTCGGGAAGTGTGGCTTTGAGGCCCTGAATTTATTACTCAAGACTCCTAATTTAGAAGTCTCAACACCAAGTGCTCATGGGTATCTGGTAGTTTTTACACAGCCCCCTGTGGGAATGTCTGCTCTCCTAAGGGCCTCCATTCCTCAAGGGAAAAGAGAAACTGTATTTTCCACAGACTTCTTTTGCTCTCCACAGAATCATCATGGGCAAGTCACTTGACCATCCTACACCTTAAGTTTTTTTTTTACCTCCTCACCTGGCTCTGGACTACTGTTTAGGTATCAAATAAGATAATACCTTCTCAAGTAAGGCCAGGTATGCAAATAGAAACATTACCCACATTGCAGGAACTTAGGACGGGAACAGGCTGGGAAATGTTCACTGACCTTGTGGTGGTAGGGTTTCTCCTACCTTCACCTTGCAGGTGACCCAGTTCCCACCCCAAATGTCATGACTAAAGGTGGTTTTAAAATATCCCAGGATACTGAAGGAGCCAGCTCTCAAAGGCATTTATAATGACAACATGTGGGTGGGGAAAAGGGCCTGAGAGCGAAGGGGTAATGGGGAATTTTTGAGAGGCAGGTGGGGAACAGAGAGGTGGAGCCCAGTCTCCACTTTCCTTTACCTCCAAGCTCCCCAGCCCTAACCAACCCCACCTCTGGGCAGTGGCAACCTCCTTTAAAAAATCAGCAGATGTATCTTTTGTTGTCGACCAGAAGGGGTCACTGCAGAGCGAGCAGCGCTCCCAGGCACTCAATAAGCAGGCACACAAATATCCAAACACACATACACATATCCAACATATATGCACTGCTGGACCAATATGTTGTTACTCCAGGGCTTCTTTTCCTTCTCTTCTTCCATGTTCTCTCTGTGTTTCTCCTCCCCTTTCTGCTTCATTCCCTTCTGGTTCCATTTCAAAGAATTCCTGAAGTTCACATGGGGGGTGGGGGGGGGGCAATTAGTCCCATCGCTATCAGCATCAGCAAGAGCGTGGGTCTATTCGGGCTGTGGCTGAGACCCGGAGCCAGGTGCTTGGAGGCCTTTAAGACTCTGCGAGTTTTTTTTCCAGGAGTCTGCAGCCTGGGGAGTGGCTATAGCAACTCTACTGAGATGAAAGGGCTCCAGGGGAGAGATGAGCTAAGGGGTCCTTCAATGACCTCCTTTTCCTAATGAAAACCCTGGGGGTGAAAGAAGAGACATTCTGCCCAAACCCTCTGCATCCAGAATTTATTTGTGGTTCTAAGCTTTCACTTTCTGGGATTAGGGTTGAACTGGGAAGGTGGGAGAAAATGGAGAGAGAGCCTGAAAAGTAACTATCCCCCCACCCCACACGTAATCCTCAGATTCCCCCCTTAATACCCATCCCCAAATGCTTTGTTTTCCAAAACAGACGCCCAGGCAAGCTGTGTTAGGAAAAGTGCTATAGCCGGATTCCCCTGGAGTGGCTGGGGCGGGGTGGGCTGGGGGTGCTCCCCCGTGGACTGGGTAGCAGCGGGAGGTTGGACGGACTGGCTGAGAGGCACAAAAGCACCGCAGGCACAGATGTAACTCTGCGCCCCTCTGCGGGCGGGGCCCCTGCTCGGCAGATGGCGAGAAGCTGAATTGGTGACGGATTGTCCATCAAACGGCACTTTCTGAGTGGTGGGGATCTGGAGGCGCTCAGGCGCAAAGAGGAACACAGAGAACCCCCTTTCCGGCCTAGGCAGTGCCTCCCAGAAGTGAAGGGTGCAGGTTGGCTTGGGCGGAGAGGTTAAGTTTTTTACTTCCCCTTTCAATAGGAGATCCGCTGCAAGACTTGTGAAAGAGCTGGGAAGGGAGGTGGCCAGGCCTGCATCACACCCAAGACTGGATAGGGGAAGGCCCCCCGCAATGGGAGAGGAGGGGAGAGGGCTGGGAAGCAGGATCTACAGCCTGGTTCAGTTCAGGGTGCCAAGAGGGCTTCTCCGAGGGGTCAGAGCTGCAACTCTGTCGCCGCGGGGCCCTAGTGACAGGCGCACGCCCCGCCCTTTCTCCTCCCAGGACCTGCGGGCTTTTGTTATGCAGATGGCGGCAGGAGGCAGAGGGGGAGGAGGAGGGAGTTGGTGGGGAGGAGAGACCGAGAAGGGGGAGGAAAGTGCAGCTCGCGCGACCAGCCTCCTTTTCCAACGTCACATTGTGCGAGAGACAAAACCCGGGCGCGCCTGAGCTCACACGCGCACGCACGCGCACACACACACACACACACACAGACGACCCTGTCGCCTCTCCTCTCCTGGCGCTGCCGAGAAAGCCAGCCTTCCCTTCCCTGACTGGGGCGCCGAAGCTCCGCGAGCTCGGAGCGCAGCCCGGAGCCAACCCAGAAGCCAAAGAAAGCCGGGAACAAGCATCTTTCTCCCCTGTCTACCCGGCTGAGGCGCCCCACCCCCCGCCCTGAACCCCGATCTTTCCCACCCCATCCCTCTGGGGTTCGTGCAGACAGAGCCTGGAGCCGGGTGTGCCCCGGGTGGAATCAACGTTTCAGCACTTCGGACAGCGCCCCGGGCGCCCTGGCCCCTTTGGGTTGGCTATGGCGAGCGTTCAGCAAGGCGAGAAGCAGCTTTTTGAGAAGTTCTGGCGAGGAACCTTTAAAGCTGTGGCCACCCCACGTCCTGAGAGCATCATTGTCGCCAGTATTACAGCCCGCAAGCCGCTGCCAAGGTAATGACCTCCTTCTTAAGAGGGGAGACCCTGATTCTCCCCCTTTCTGGCCTGTGCCCCGCAGCCCTGAAGGGTAGATGCAGGCAGCTGGGCCAGAGTGCCTGTCTTTTTTCGTCACTACTCGCTCCCTCCCGCTGGAGCACAGGAATTAATTGCTTGTACAAGGTGGGAGCTGGTGAGAAGGGACAGGGAGTCTTTAGCAAGGAGACACAACTGTCTGCTGACCTGGCAGCTTCTATTCAAGAGGTTTTGCTTGCTTAGGGTGGAATACGACTTGACTGAGAAAGTTTTCTGGGTATCACAGAGCTCAGAGCACTGGGTGGGGGAGGAATGTGGATCTGGGGTGGCAGGAGGTATAGAAAGAGAAGATGCGAGTTGAACCCGCTCAAGCAGTGTTCAGAGATAGTGGCACATTTCTGTACTCAGCTCAGAAACTAGTGAGCTCGGAAGGTCTTGACGAGAGCCGATGTGCTGTTCCCTCAAACACACCCCAAACAGCACCCTGTTCCATGCCTTTCTGGCTGCTGTTGCTGCTGGATTCTCTCCTTCCCAGCATCCAAAACCAGGAACAGAGCTGAAGAGTCAGGGAGGAGCCTTCCACAAGCACTTGGAAGAGTTTTGTCTGGTTTTTCAAAAAAGGATCTGGCTGTTTTGAACTCAGGCAGGGGGAGAGATCCTTAGGTGGTGGTGGACACGGCGCGATGGGGGTAAGGGGTGGAAAAGGGAAGAAGAGAAAGGGATGCAGAAAGAGGGAGGAGAGGATGCGAGGCGCATGGAGAGAAGGCTGGGCAAAACAGAAGAATTCCGGGATGGAGAAAACCCAGTTCTTTCCGTGAATCACTCAATTTAGAGGAGTTTGAGAATGAAAGGAAAAGAGGCTGTGCCCCCTGTCAGGGAAAATCAAGGCAGTATGAAAACTCATAATTTGCTGGTGTTGGATGAGTGGTTTGGTGGGAGATAAAGAAGTGGACCAGGGGAGACCACTTGGAGGATTTATTAATCCTGGCAGGCCTCATTAAGAGAGTAGATTGAAAATATGTCTGGGAAAATGCTTCAGACAGGATGCCTGTTCTGGCACAACTGGACCTGAACTTTTCAGTGGCTGTGGGGTGGAGGACTGACAAGGACTCAATCCTAAAACCAAACTCAGACTAGAGAACTATTCACGGTCTGATAGGGACCTGGCTCATCCAGGTCTTTAGAAAAAATGGGTGCCCCACATTGGGAATGGGTGGATGGGGTGATGGGCCAGCAGGATATAGTGGGCTACAGACAGCAGCAGCCAGTGTTTGTGGATGGGAGGGAGGGGACCCCCTCTGACACAGGCTGGAGAAGGGGAACAATAACACTCTATGCCGTCAAAAGCTGAGGTTTCTTTGCTTGGAAGGAGGTTCTTTGTAGAGAGTTTTGACGTCAGCGGTTTTATCGGTTTTATCATCTTGGGTTTGTGCCATCCGTTCCCCCTTTGGAGTGAGAGCACCTACTGTTGGCAAATCAGGTGCTGCGTTGGGCAAAAAAATGTGCCCTTGTAGAAGGGACTAGAGGGAATTTCACTGGAAACGAGAAGCGTGGCATTTGGTCCAGGCTCATCCCTAGACTTCAGGGGTCCAGGCTGAGCAGAGGAGATTCCTGGTGGCATTTAAATTGTGAAAAGCCTGCATCATGCGCTCCTGGCTGGGACCCTCGCCCTGTGCCGGTCAGCCTGTTACTGGCATGCTCTTCTCTTCTTCTCAGTCATGTGAACTGCCCACAAGGTCTTCCAACTCTCATGCTTTTTGTATCTTTGTATAAATCCCAACTTCATCCAGCTGAGAATCTCACCATAGCCAACCCTCCCCACACAGGTATCATTTCACCCCTGGTGTCTTTTCATGGTCTGGGTCTCCACCGCTGAGTGGAAAGTCTGAGCCCTAAGCCTCTCATTTATGTCATGCTGGAAGGATCCTCTTCGATACTTCGGTAACAGGTGTGGCCACCCTGTAGAACCGACTGATTCCTTTGACAGCCATTACTCCTGGGGTGTTTTTTTTGGGGGGGGGGGGTGAGTGAGCAGGAAGCATTAGTATTTATTTAAGTCTTCAGGAAAGGCTGTCTATAAAACCTGAATCATCCCCATTCTCAACCCAGCCAGCCACGTCCAACGCTGGTCACTTTCCAGCTCCTTTTTAATGTTCTACGCTTACTCACAGGGTGTAAGTGCATGTTTCTAAAGCAGAGTTCTTAGGAAGGGAAGGGACACAGACATGGGCATAGCCCTGGTGGCTTCCTCAAGAGGCAACCTGGGGACTTGGTCTCATCAGAAATGTTGTTTAGTTCCGCGAGTCAAGCCCAGTTCACAGTCAGCAGATCTGCTCTGCAGGGAGGTGGGGGAGGAGGCGAAGGAGCCACCAGCCAGTTCTGTTGGTTACACACTTCATATTTGTTTACAGATGAGGGCTACCTGCTGAATGAACTTCCCCCGGATTATGTAAGTCTGTCTCTGAAGATCATTTAGTACCAGGATAGACACTTACATTCAATTTGTTGATTTCATAGCAATATGCATACATCGTACGAGCACTCGGAGTGAAGTGTCCCTATTCCCCCTCGCCCCTTCTCTCCCCCTCTGGGAGGCATACTTGATGAGGCAATAGCTTTATAATGTATCAAATTGCAAGCAGATGTCGGACTCAAATGTCAGAACGGTGTAACAGTGTAGGAGGCAGTCCACCATCGTGGTTACCAGTTCAGACTTGAGAGGCAGACAAACCTGGATTCCTATTCTGGTTCTACCCTTTAGCTGCGTGTCCCAGACAAAGTGGCTCTACCTTGCTGAGCCTGTTCTGTCACCTTGTATACAGAAATAATAACAGTAGCCATGTCAGGCAGTGAGTTATGTGCACTGAGTCAGGTAAAACCCTTCCTGCCCTGTGCGGGCACAGTGGTGGTTCAGTAGCCGCAGACGCAAACGGCTCAACGTGATGATGGCCGAAGAAAACCAACAACCCCTTCCAGGACTGTGCTCCTCATGCCTGCTGACATTAAGGCTGACAATAAAAACTGTGGGATTTCAACTCTAACAGGCAACTACATTGAGACACCAAGTGTGAGGGTTCCCATAATTCCCCTCCCTAAGGGAAGGTGAGCTCTCTCTGATCTGACTCAGGTAGGGGCTGGGGGCAGCTGAAAAATATCGGGATTCAGCAAGGACTGGTGCAGCCTCTTTATGGAGTATTCTTTGGATTTGTATAGAGGTGGCCAGGTGCTGCCAGTCTAGAGAAGGCTCAAAATCCTAACAGGAACTATCCCAGGCAAACCAGGAGGTAGGGTCACCATGGTCAAACCTTGCTCCGTTCCAGCTGGGAGCTGGAAACCACCGTGTGGATCCATAAGATCCTTGGAGTATAAGAGACCCCCATCTTTCATCCCCACCAAGGAAGCACAGTCATTTTCCCTGGCATTAATTAATTATCTTTGTTAATTGCTTAGTCCGGGAAAGTTTGTACCCAAGACGTTTAGGCTCAAAGTGGAAAGCTTAGGGTTTGGGGCCAGCTCGAACTGGAATAATCCTCCGGACCAACAGCCGTTGAGGACTTAATGAACACGTAAAAATCATTTGTAAGTAGAATATCAATTGTTTGTGCTGGTAAAGGCTAGAGAGGGGTCCCCCTTCAAATAGAAGGAGCATCCCCTCTACAATTCTTTTGGCAAGCTATACATTTTCTTCGAAAAGCCTTTCTATTCAGAATAGTCCAGAAGCAGGCTGCAGCCCAGTCCCCGTCCAAAGGATCATAAATTCTAAACTATTGGAGATTTTACTGCAGAAAGGGAAAGACAGCCAAATTGTAAGCCAGGAAAAATGCCTTCGAACCATTTCATTCAAGACCCCCCCTTCGTGCCAAGGTATCAGTGAGTACGGTTGTGCTGACGGTGCCCTGGAGCCCAGAGCGGGGCTGCCGGGAGCTGATTTCCTGACAGCCCGTGGTTAAGAGCCAACGTTCGACCGGGCAGGGAGAGAGCCTGCCCTGGGACCCGTGAAGGCTTTTCTCTGGGCAGGGCGTGGTATTGTTTGGGTCCAACCTCTCTTCTTCTGGAAGCTGAGGTTTGTTGAATGGTATCCAGGGGTCGGTAGGGGCTCCTGTCCGATTGGGCTGTGTTCCTCTGGGAACGCGCTGTCAGAGACCTGGGCGGCGGGAGATGTCAGTGCCAGTCGGATGCGTCAAGCGCAGGGTCCACGTGGTCCAGCGGCAGGTGAGCTCCCCCCTGCACCACTCCCGGTCCCGACTCTGGGGATCTGATCAGCACAATCCAGACACACGGGCTGCAAGCAGACTTGACTCTCGTTGCTGTCAGAATAAAGCTCCTCGGATGTAGATGTCGGGCTGGCTGGGAGGTTAGACATGTCGGCTGGGATGGGAGCAGGAGGCTGGACTAAATGCCACCTGGAAGTGCGTCCTAGACTTCTAGGAGCCTCCATGAACTCCGCCCCCACTCCCAGCCACCAAGAAGGGGACACACCCCTAAAAGCTGGACTCCCTGAATGAGGAGAGAAGCCTTGGTGGTGTGCCCCTCTGGCACGCTGCAGGGGACACAGGACATTTAAAAAATGTTCTTTCTTCCAGGTTTACTTTCCTGTGAGGCGGAAGAAGTCGTAGGGGCTTCACGAAGCCGAGTTCTTTCACTGCTTGTCACTAAGACTTGCTCTGAGGTGTGAGAATGTTTCTGAGGCAGAGAAAGCTGAATGGTTCAAGGTGAGGTTTGTCAGAACCACCCGGCCTGAAATTCCGCTCTGCTCTATCTGAGCTTTGGAATCTGCTCGTCCCTTCACCACTCTCTGCCTCAGTTTCCCCATTATCTGTGAGGTACTCAGTGGATGGGGTTATAGTGAGGCGTGAATGAGATCATTCATGTAAAGAACATGGCCCAGTCCCAGGCCCAGACCAAGACCCCCATAGATGGCAGTCTCATTACTATGACATGAGCCACCTGATGAGATGAGAGAGAATGCCACGCCCCTCCGC